TATAAAAAAGATTATATATTACATAAACTGTAAGTAAAGTTTGTTACTAACGCTCTTCTTTTTTCCTAGGAGTCAATATGGAACGGTTTATAGACGAAGTAGATGTGGTGATTGTGGGCGGTGGACCTGCAGGAATATCCGCTGCTATTCGTGGCATTCGATTTTATCCTATTTCACAGTTCTGTCGCACTTCTCTCACACTCATGAGTTGTCTCTTTTCTTGGCTTTTTCTTTGTTTCTTTGTTCTGTACTCATTTACATTACATTCAAAGCATGAAATGAAGAAGAAGAAGACAAAATTATTAATGCATTTATAGGTTTCTGCTGAAAGTTTCATATTTCTGTTAAAAGTTGAAAATTTATGATACAAAACCATAAAATGTATTTTTTCTACGTTATTAATTATTTTTGTGTCTTATATTGTATTTGACTCTGTTAATGTTGATATTTTATTGCTTGCTAACATTTAAAAAAATGTATTTAAAAGCTATAACGTAATTCGCGCAACTTTTAGGCATCCATAAAAACTGTACAGGAAAGTAAATTTTACTCCCGGAAATACAAATTAATTGTTTTGCATTAGAGACTAAATTAATCATTGCCAGTTGCAAAATTTTTGTCATTAACTCTTGCGATTTAAAAACGAAAAATGTCCTTCCAGCAACTTTTGCGAGACGAAAAGAAAAATTTTACCTTCTTGACATCCATATAGTAAGTCTAATTCTTAATTTATTTAATTAGAATTAAATAAGAATTGATGACTGCTGAGAGATTTTTAGTTCTGTTTAAAAAAAAAATTTTAATTATTATGTATTGTTGAAAAAACCGATTTCCAGACAAATTTTGGGTCTTTCCCACTAAGAAGATAAATCTTAAAATTTATTATTAAATTCCGAATCGATTTGAACATTTCAGTCTGTTCGGTTGTCGGCCTGTCCATTTGTTAAATGCCTGTTGTAAGCACTCTCCCGGTCAGAAAATTAATTCAGAAGCTTCAAACAGAAGGCAGAAACATTGAAAAATTACCCAAACCAGTCAAAGTGTCAGGTCTACAACTCCCACACGCTTATACAACAAAAACTCTGAGCAACATTACTTTGCGTATTTTTTGCTTGTTACTCATAAAGAACAGCATCTTCACCATGTAAATTTGCATTTTTATTCTGAAAATAAAAGAAACCCAACCGCCCACTCCCCTCCCATATAAGAGCCGACTGTAGTAGCGAATGTGAGCTGACGGGTGTCAATAACCAGTAAAAAAGACTCGGCACCACATTGTCCGCCTTCAGCAAACCTAGTTAGCCGACCTGAGTACACTTACAATAGCCAAATTTTTTTGCCACTTATACAGATCAAACTAAGAAGAAAAAAGTCATATTCAAATTCATAAAGGTCGCAATAAAGTTGGTATTTGCGGAACTCCCTTTCAGAGATGCTATTAAATTATTTACGAAAGAACAAAGTTATAGTTTAATGTCTAATATATTTTGCAAGTTAGCGGTTTGTAGAATATGTTTTGAACGGAATCTTTATATGCTAAAAAAATATAATTTTCAATATTCAAGCTGAGGCGACTAGGTTAGAAACCGTGAGTAGTCTGGATTAGCAAATTTGAATCGACAAGCCCAGTCATAGGGACTCGAGATTACGTTCCAATCTCACTTTAGTACTGATACGGTCTTCAGTTCGTTGCACTTTTGTTTGTATTATAGATTATGAAAATTTAGCTCTTTTCTTATTTTAGTCGGTTTTAGGATGACGGTGATGGAGATAAAAATTTATTTTTGTTTTTGTATGTGACCGCGTATAGGGGACGCGCGCATAATGGGGGCCAGATGTTATCGGTGAAAAAGGATGGAGGGAAGGAATATATAATAAGAAGAAAGACATAATGGTATCAAGTCTAAATCTTGTTACATTCTTCGACTATCGGTTTTCAGAGCAATTTAAAAATCAAAAATGTGTTCTTATAAAATATGAAAGATATGATAAACAATCCTTTAATATATATAAAAAATTGTATCATAAAACAAAATTAAATTGAATAAATCATATATTGGTTGTCTTTATTTTTATTTATAAATTTTGCTAAAACTTTTTTGTACTTTGTTTTCCTCTTCTCAAACAGGTGGAGATGAACTTCAAGCACATGATGAAGCCAGTGATCGTTCTGATCAAAATAAGTCCAATGGTGCCCTTTCCGTACAAATACATGGTGCAACTCTTAACGATACTTTATTAACAACATTGCTTCTCATATTTACGTCGAAATTGATTATTAGCTAAAAGCAAATTCATAGTTATTAAGACGATAGAAAAGAAAATAAATAAACAAACACAACAAAAACAATAATAATAACAGCAAAAGAATAAAATATTTTAAAGAAAATTTTTTATATATTATTTGAAAATATTTTAATAGAAGTAAAATCTTGAAACATATATAAAAAGAAGAAAAGGAAACAGTAAAGAATTGATTAAAGAATAGTCAGTCATATGAATATTGAAGTTTACTTACGGTGCCTCCTATTAATAAGATATTTAGATAAATAACACACAGTTTAAAATGTACATACATACATACACGCACTAAAAAGGTAGTCATTATTTTCTATTCATTGTTTTTTTTTTTTTTTTTCTTTAAGCATGCGATAAATAAGTTATTGTTAAAAAAAAAGCAAAACTACAAACAAAGTGATTTTTAAGTTAGATATTTCACATTCCGCATAAAAAATAAGCAAAAAAGAACTTCTCATTTATATAAAGATAAAGAAATAACTTTTTTTCTGTTTGTTCTTTTTTTTGCGTTATCAAAATAAATTTGACACAAACGATACTAAAGATTATTTTACACGATCTTAACTCATGAGAATGTCACAAAAAATGATGCAAGTTAATGCTCAGATTATTGTAAAATAGTTTTTATTTTTTGCTTACGCATAAGTATTTTTAATAATGATAATAATAGTAATTACAAAGCTTGAAAACATTTTTTCAATACAACCTACAAAGACCCACTTGTAGGATTGTATGTATTATTGCCCTTAACATGTAATTGTTTTCTATATTTTGTCGGAATTAATATTTAACTCCGAAAATAATTATTAAACGATAATTGCGAATTATACTTTTTATTATTTAGTTAAATTTTAATTGTGAAAAAAGTAATTTTCAAATGATTTAATGTGAAATCAAAAAATTTTTGAAAAAATACATATATGAAAGTAGAAAAACTTTGATTAAATCTTATCAAAAAAGTTAATTTTTTTTAATTAATTAATAGATGACACACAAGAAATAGAAGGCTGTCACCGATTAGTAAAAGAAATTTAAATGCAGCTGAAAGATGAATATATTCTATTTGGGTGTGGAAAATATTGGTATGTGATAGTTGAATTTTCCACCAACCGCAAAATGTGATGAATAATCAACGCTCCTAAAATATGTTTGTAAGAACACAGCGGGAGCTCTTCAAAAATATGGCCAGACGGCCGAGAGAGACCCTTATCGCCCTTATCCCCTCCCTACAATTTGTACACTGACGAAGTCCCGTTTTTTCAACTCTATTCCGTTGAAGATTATTAATCAGAATTTATTTGGATATGAGGTTGCTTGGTTTGGCATGCGTAATGTAACGTTTTCTCTAACAAAAGTTCATACATTTTATGTTAAAATTATAGGTAAATTGGTATTAAATAATGTAAATGTAAAAGTAAAGGATTCATTTCACATTTTCATGCTACCAAGGAAGCATCTCATGTCCACCTGTAGGCTAGTCAATAGCTTTTTAGTCAACTTTTTACGACAAAAGTTCCAAGAGCAAACAGCAGACGAGCATGAAATATATATGTATATGGATGTCCGCATATATCATATCTATATATATATATGCCCATCAAACCACCCGACAGAAATCAGGGGTCGTAGACAGAGCAGAGTATGAATGGTCCAGAGATTATGATCTGGCCGTTCGGTAAGTAGGTTTTGTCCGTCCATTAAGGGTAAAGCACATGTATTTCTTTCAGATGTAGTAGGTGTGGAATGTTCACGGACAAAAATTTAAACCACGCTCTCTATTTAATATCTGCTGAACTAACTAACTCAACAAAGACAAATGTGTCCATCTCACCTCCGATCCTCTTCAAGTGGCATTTGAAAGTGGACCTAAAAGTAACAAAGTTCGATATTCAGACAAAGAGTAAGAATTCACAAACATTGAATTACACAAATATACATAATATATGAGATATATACATATATGTATGTATATATATGATATATATATGATGTTACCAACAATTCAGTGATTGACTTGCGATACCAAGCCTCATATTAAATGACTTTCGGTAACTGCAATTGTATTACGCTTCAGTCCCTTAAAAGAACATTTCTAAATGTGTCACAAGGCGGTCGTAGATACGTTCACTTCGTTGAAAGTAGTTATTCAGAAAAGAACATAATAAGTAGACTGATTTATCAATAACTTTCGATAGCAACTTTCGACAACTGGAACTGTATTCTGTTCACTAGTTTGCAATTTTCAAAATGTGCCTGATCGCAAATAAGTCAATTCCTAGAAAGATTTTATTGAAAAGGGAATATTATAAAAGTATTAATATTAATTTATCTTCAGAGACGATTAAGCAAAACACCTCCGATAATTCCTGTGAAGAAGAATGATTAAATTTATGTAATGAAAAATCAATTATAGATAAACTTGAGCTTATCGCATACCGATTTTAAGATAACACAATTCTTCCACTTTGAAAATTATAACGAATTCGAGTTTCTTATTAAATGAAATTTAATATTTTATTTTTAATAGGTGCGTATGCAATATAAATCCAAAATACTAGCAAATAAATGCATACGCAAATTACTGTTACTATTTACAGTGATTAAAGTGTATTAAGGATGTTTTTTTTTTGCACACAGAATCAACTCGTTAAAATCGCTCATTTAGAAACATTTAGAATTATGTTGAAAGCAATTTTGGAAGTCATTTCATAATATACTTTATATATATATATGTTCGCTTATAATTAAATCATACGAATGACTTCAAAACTTAAATTAAGCAAAAAAAATAAAAAAATTAAAAAGAGAATTGAAAAAAGTTGGAAATTGAGTTGAAATTTTCAGTTATTTGAGTGACCATAGCAATTTTTCAACGTCCTCTTCTTCCGAATCGGAATTCAGTTTACTAAATATATCATCCAAATCATCGCGGATACGTTTTCTCTTTTCGGTGCCACGTATTTCATGATAAAGCCCTTTTATGAAATTAACCCTTTCACCAGCCAAACCATTACTTGCAGTAGTAGTTGGAGCTGGAGCGGTATCACTATCCGTATGTACTTCAGATTTTATAAACTTATTTTCGATGGTATTTAATTCTTGTAGCCGCATAGCTTCTAAACTATTTGTTGGTCTGGCTTCCTCTTCATCATCATCATCATCATCAATGCATATAATGTCGTCGTCTGTGCAGAAAATAAACAAAAATGAGAGAGAAATACGAGTTGTTTTTTAGATTATCTAAATGTTGAGTTTAAACACAAACTGCAAAGCAAAATATTTATTGTAATCTATAATTCCGCTGACGTTTAATTATACTTTAAACGCAGAAATAAAAATGTATATTTATATAATATATATATATATGCTTCCAAATATTCTGATCAGCGACATCCATTGGTGAAAATATCAATGTACGCAACGGTTATTCGATATTTCTTTCTGTACATAAAATAACAGATTACCCTTTAGTATTTCTATTTACTATGCCGTTATTCAATAACGCTAATCATGAGACACTCAAAACTGCATTTTGACATTCATTACTTTTGTTGTTTGATTTGAAGAAATCTGCTGACGAAGCCCATCAAACACTTCTAAAAGCTTACGGTGATACCACCGTTATATCCCAATTGTTGGGTGCGCTTTCACCAGTCTAAGCAAGTTCGAAGACAGTGGGCGAAATGGAAGACTCGTTGGACGAAAACACAGCTCAACAAGAAAAGAGAAAAAAAGTTGTGAAAAAGCTTTTTGGACCAATTCTTCTCAATGTAAGCCGTTTTCAAGTGAAAAAATGACCAATATACATGCAAGCACCTAATGTACATATATAAATGCCATTTTTTATGACGCATGGAGGACTCATAAAACGAGCAAGCCGTAAGCGAAGCCAAGACCAATCAAAGACGATTACTATTGATATTAAACGTAATCCAATCAACTTTGACCGGACATAATATCAATATTGCCAAATGATTCAATACACTTTGGGTTTAAATCTTAACCTATCTTCGCTACCAATTTATGCATAAGCTCAGTAAAAGCTCTTACCAATTAAAGGTTCATTTGGCTCCCTTTTAATGCTATCATCATAGCTACGCCCGTACAGTTTACCTGATGAACTATTACCAACATCGTTAGAGTGCATTGCTGCCAAGTTTGGATTCAGGCTTAATATTTCATTAGTTTCTGTGCTTTCGGTTGGGCGAATCCTGTTGATAGGTAAACTAAATTCTTCTTCCGGTTCCGGTTTGATGCCCGCTGTAGCAGCTACTTCAAAACGTTTGCCCAGTATATCACTTGCCGTGGGTGCGGTATTTTGTTCGGCGTCAAGTGATTCTTTTTTAATATTAACAACTGCAGGAGCTTCTGAAAGGAAATGTCTGTTTTAATGGAGTTTAACGGGAAGCTTAATGAGCTATAGAGTTCATTGCAAAAGACAATCTTATCGAATTATTTTTGTGACGATTTTTTTCTGGCTTACTATTTACTTCAAAGGCATATGAATCCATTTAATAAATAATTTGTAAACTTTACTCGCCAGCTAATAAATATTTTGTTAATATTATAAGCACTTATCCGAAATATGTGGCTCATTATATATGTGAGGTAGACTTTCATTTTCGCTACAGTCAAATAAATAAACAATTTACCTGTAGTAGTAGTATCCGTTTGAGTTTCAACAGTTTTACTTTTGGAATTTTCTGAAATTTCAAAATTATTTTTAGAATATAATAAGATTTAAAAATATATATTTTTTGTTACCTATATGTGCTGTTATATCATCAGTATCGCAACAAATAACCGTCGAACCATCGGTTTGGGTTTCTATACTTTGAGATTTGTTATGCGGTTGATTCTTTTGCACATTTTCAATTTCTCGCAACAAATTGTATTTCGTATCTATCGTGTCTTCATGAGCCGGACTTGGGAGTAATTCTTGTGTTTGAGAGTGAGTTACATTACCATCCGGTGCATTCTCGAAACTATCGTGTATTTCTAAGGCTTCCTCCTGAGCTTCAACATCATCTCCATTAGTGGTGGAATTGCTAGTGATACGCCGAAATCTGCAGATTATAGAACGATTATCAATTTGCGTATGAAAAGCATTTTGGTATGCTTGTATAGCGTCGTCGACATTAGTGTAACGTATAAAGGCATAACGAGTCTTCTTTAGACGTACTGCAAAACCAATATCAATGCGAGCACAACCGGGAAAATGTTCACGCAAAACATTTCTCGTTATGGTGCTCGACAAATTGCCGACGTATAGCGTATAGGGATCAACTTCTTCGGGTTTCGTTGAGGGAGGTTTGGGTGAAGGGTTCGATTTCAGTTCTGCGGTAATAAAACCTGTACCAAAAGGTATTTTTGAAATGGTTTCTATAACTTTTTGAACGTTTGCTTCCCGCTTAAGGCGGACTGTACAATAACGGCTGGCGCTGCTTTGCATAAAGTACACATAAGCAATGTCCGGGCTGTAATTACTGACGATTTCCCGATTTACTTCGGGATCGGGAAATCGTAGAACTAAAGTCGGAGCTCTTTCCGTGCGCTCAGAAAACTTTTCTTCAGCTTGCAAAGCTTGTATAGCACATTCACGCGACCACTCCTTTGGTATGCCATAACGGGCAGACATGGTCTTACGACGACATTTACGTAAACTAGATTTTGACGGTTCCGCATTAGCTATTAAAATATTTACAATAGAATAAAAGAAAGAAGGAGATATTTGAGTAGAGTAAGGGAGAGAATTTGAAAGTCCAGAGCAATACCTGTTTCGTTTTCCATGATATTGTTGTGTTGATTTATTGAGTTGTCATTGGGAGTTGAAGTAATCGCTGGTTGCCGTGATGCCATGTTGGACGTTGAATGGTGGTTTAACATCCCTGAGTGCTGGGAGTCATCGAGCAAAGATGCGGATGGAACCAAATGATGAGATGTAGCCTGTTGCTTTGCCGCTAAGTGAGATTTCTCACTTAACTGATCTGGTGTCCGAATAACCAAAGGAGGTGGGTGATCATACATATCTCTACTCACACCCGGCAGAACATCAGCAGTCGGAGGTGGCGGTGGTGGTGGCGGCGGTTTTGGCGCAGCCGAACACGGTAGAGGCGGCAAAGGTGGTTGATTAAAATGCCACAGATTTTGCGAATTTACATTGGTATTTGACGATGTGAAATCCGTTTCATAATTAAACGAGTTACTAAGCATCAAGGGACTCGTTGAACCGCTCTTTAAGGAATACATTGTTAAATTTGAAAGACCACACGTACAGTACACGTTACAGCATTTGCTACATGTTGCCGAATTTGATGACATCCGCATCTCCTGATTTTGATTCACACTTGAATACAAGCTATCATTGTTCGTTGTTTGGACCAAATGAGGAAATGTGGCATTGAAAAGATCTTGATGCGTTGACGATGCACGTTGTTGATAATAACCAGATTTACTCAATACTTTCGCTTGTTTGTACGGCGGTTCCTTATTCTTTTCATAATCATATTTAAGGCGATTATTCTCATAAGCGCTATTAGAATGCAAATGTCCATAAGTATGCGAACCTGACGATGACGACGAGGACGTCTTATAGTGTGAAGAATAATTATATTGTTGATTTTGAAGCTGCGGTGAATTATTATAAGATGATCTTGTGTGCCTTGTGTGCTGCGGTTGATGTTGATGTTGTTGATGTTGTTGGTGACGTTTATATCTTCTGTCTCCAGAAGAATCATAATTACCTCCTTGTTTCATTTCGACAAAAGGCGGAAATTTTTTCTTTCGGCCAAAACTTATCGTTTATCAGTTAATAAAAATGTTCACAGATATTTTCTTTAACACTCCAAAGCCTTTATGCCTACACAATACATTTAACATTAAGCGTACACAGTATATGTATATGCAGAAAGTATTAGCTATCGCCAAGCAATTACTAAGTAACTTTCTATAGAGCTACTAAAAAATACAGTTCTAAAACAGTAATTATTAGCAACTATTAATGATTATTCATACAAGATATACAAAGTATATTTTATAAAAACTCTTTTTTTTCGCCACGAGTATGTATACATTAACCTGTGAATGATTAGTTTTTTCTTCTAAAAAATCAACTATATTTTACCAATTGCACACTGCAGCAGCAGCACTGTGTCGATTCAGCCATTTATGATGCTATGGTTGCTTTATATTATATATATCGTAAGTTGTATAACTAGGGGTTGCTTCATAGTATTTGGTTATCAACGCGTAACAAATGCAGTATAGCCATTTAACAGGATGTCATAAAGAAAACGAAGCAACAGTCTACTGTAAAGGAAATAAAAAATTGTTTTTTATTTTCAAACTAATTATATGCATTAATATTAAGAAATTTTAAAATATTAGAAATTTTTCTGTTGTTTTAACGCTTTCCTTCATTTGGTTTTAGAAATGAAATTCTAGTCGAATTTTTACTGCGCTCATCAAAGAGCAGTGAAAGTTTAGTTAAACAAAACATCGATATGCTTAGCAATTCCTTTGCTGAATTCACTAAAAGTTTTATCGCAAAATGTAATGAACAATTAAAGTAAATTGAAGAAAACAGAAAACTCTACAATTATTATTTGCAATGCAATTGCTAAAAATACTAAAATCATTTATTAATAATAAAAAAATTAGTAGCATGCTAAGTCATCGTTCACTAAAGTATTTTTATATAATGTCATTTTTAATTGATTGATATTTTTTGCACTTGTTCTTATATAGGACTACATCATCGAATTGGTTTCTTCAAAAGAAATTAGGACGAAATGTTTCATCATTGGAGAAAGAGAAATATTTTAAGCAAATAGATCGAGTATCTGAAAGTCATCAACTTATCTATTATGTACCTATGGAATCGTATCTTTGCTGGTCAGTTCGTTTATCGACGTTTACTACTTCCCTAATTGTATTGGCCGCCATGTATCAATATACCTACAATTTCGATATATTAGAGTCGACTCAGTTTACTTTAATATTAGAAAAGGATGATATATACTATTTTGCTGTTGGATTTATAACTATTAATGCGCTCGTCAGATGGATAATTTCAAAGTTTCCTTTACGCATCTATAAAATCACAAATCAGTTAATTATAAATAGAGTGCAATCAATGACATGACTTGTAATTATAATGACTTCAACTTGTTTACAGATATTTAGCCATTTATAACAAACAATTGCCTGGATTACGCCCACAACATCATTTTAAGCGAGGTGATGTGAAAAAAGTTGATTTTATACTTAATCCATGGAAAAATGCCACTTACAAGTTGGGGAATCAAACATCTTTGATTTTGCCAGATTACTTCAAAACGCCATTCGAATTTCATCAAATGTTTGATTCCGAAAAAAATTAGTATTAAACTGAGCAAAGATAAATAAGTATAAACAATGCTTTTCCAAACATTTTAATCAAGCATGTTTTTATCAAGTTGAATTCCTTAGATAAGAGATTGGGCGAAGGTTTTTTTTGTCCTGTTTTTAAAGACTGATTTATGGAAAATGCACAAAGAGCTATAAACTTAGTTAGTGGAAGACCATTACGTCTATAACGTATGATTTGTTCCGATTCTTTATTAGACTCCTTACGAAATTTAAAGAAAAATGCATCGTCCAATAGCTCACTATTACCTGAATATGCATGTGGTTATGTCTTCTCCGTCGTTCATAGAATTCTTTACGATCTCTCATTCATCGAATTCAACAATAGATAGCCTATTGCAAGATTCGATCCTCCCGAATTTTGAATAGATTGGTTTGTGCAGTTTCAAGTCAAATCGCTGTGTCGCATTTAACTGAAGATTTGCAACCGCAAGTCAAATATAATTTATATCGCCGACTTTGGGTATAAACAATAAAATAAATGAAATATGAGAACAGTCGACGGATTGATCTCTTTGTAGAAGAGACATGTCTATCGAAAATCTGTTTCTAGACTAAATTCTAATTTCCGAATGTGCTCCGATATCGGTTCTTGAGCTGAAAAAAGCTTGTCCGCAATATTCGATGTAGCCAAAAACAGGTTTTATTCAAACATAGACTTAACAGCACCGTCATAGGTTAAAAATGATGGCCCAGGGCATGGCTTATTAGAAAGGTCGAAATCACTTATTTGAAATTTTCTGCATGCTCCACCAGAATTTGTACTTTCACCAAATGCTTCAATAAATGTTTTCATTTTCTTTTGTTAGAATGCATAGAAAATCCAGTGGCACAAATGAACATTATCAGTAGCCAAGGATCCAGGACTGCGTCCTATTTCATATTAACGCGAAGATTCTTCTTCTTCTTCTTTTTTTTTTTTTTGTTTGTTTAGAAATGGATTGGACCAGTTAAGTTAATGTTACATCCATAATCCAGAAACGAAGTTGAGAACGATTGATGAAAAAATTTAAGCATAGATGGACTGATGTGGCACAGTGTACTGTCAAGATCCGGCTAATAATGCCGATAAAAGAAAAAGTGTAGGCGATTCGTGATTGTAATAAAAATACTAAATGTAAAATTAGAATGAAAACCCAGCTGATTTGATAAAGGCAGTCAGTTGCTTCAAATGCCTAAAGTTACCAGCACGAAAAATTTCATATAGATTGTTATACAGGTTAAATATACTGAAAGATTGTCTAAGGATGTCAAACCTGTCAAACCTCCTGCACTCAAAAATCAGGTGCTCGGCAGACTCAGTAATATTGCAATCCTCACAGATGTCAGAGGAGAAGACTTTGATCATTTTAAAATAGACCTTGTCGTAGGTGTGATTACTCATAAGACGGTGAAGAACTTTAAATTCCCATGTTGTGAATTTTCCTTTAGGTAGAAGCGTGGGTGTCAAAAAAGGGTAAATTTTGTAGAACAGACGGTCACTTTTTTCTCTAGCTAAAACATGATACTCATCTTTCCATCCTTTTATGATGAGTTTTTTGACTAGCAGAAAAGCTTCGCTGGGGGGGTAGTTTATGGACAAAACTGTACCATCGAACCTAGCTTGACGAGCATGGAAGTCAGCTTTTTCATTGATACTAAAACCGCAGTGACCTGGGATCCAGATGATGTGGCATTTTTCAATACTTGGGTCTTTTAAAAGGTTATAGATATCGAAGACATACTTGTTGAATGGGTCTTTGTTTTTGATTAAAATTAGAGCAGATTTGCTGTCAGAGAAAACTACAAATTTTTTCAGCTTAATTTCAGATGCATGGATGATTGCTTGTCTGATGGCCAGAAGTTCAATGAAAGTGGATGATAGTTCTTGTAGAACTTTGAATTTTCCTATAAGTAAGTTTGAGTATTCAATAATTGAAAAACTAGAGATGTCCGAATTGATAGATCCATCCGTTGCGTATATTTTGAAGTTATTTTCGACGAAGTGGTTAAGTTTTTGCAGACAAGCGATTCGAAGACAAGACCCTGATCGATTTTTTTTTGAGTTGGTGATCAAATTAAGTAAGTTTAATTCAACTACGCATATATCATGAATAATATTATTCCAGGAGGGTATTGAGTTAACTTTATTGAAGATGTTACTGAATTTTTTGAAGCAGTTAGAGTAACTACTGCTGACGTGATTGTGTCTGGAAGCGACCTCGTCAAAGAAGGCAGGTTTGAAGATTTTTACCTTGAGAAGTTCTTTTGCAGTTACAAGATAAATTCTCTTAGCAACGGGAATCTTCTTCGTTTTAGTTCATTTGCTACATTAGTATTTATTTATTTTCTTATTTATTTATTTATACCACTTATACAAGAAATCCAATCAAAAATTTTGACAGTCGAGTTCAATTGGCTCTTGAAGTAAATCTTAAATTAATTAATAGTAAAACTTAGTATAAGTATAATAAAACATATAAGAAGGAAAAAGAAGAAAAAAGAAAAAAAGCATGTACACAACTAGCATAGAGCCACACCCACAACCAGTACAGGGCCAAATTGCCAATGAATGGAACCCCTAAGCCATCGCAAACATGCATAAGCTTGGCAACCAATAATAATAGTTAACAACAATTCATTTTTGAATCGTAACGACTTTTTAAGCTTAAGAGCTAGCTTAACTACGACTTAGGTAAATTACGCGCATTAAGCAAAGTGGCTTTAATGGACTTTAAAGAGTTCGATAATGAGAATAAGTGATGACATCTTTTGGGTTCTTGCAAACAACTCTGAGCGGATTAAACAGCTCATAATTATATTTACACCGACTAAGCTTAACCAAGGTAAAGTGCCTAGAGAAGCGGTTGGAGACATTAAAGCTTATTTCACCAAGTAATGCAGGTGAGTCAATAGCATTATTTATTACTTTGGTTACGAAGGAAACGCCAAGAACAAATCTACGTTTCTCAAGAGACGGTGAGGACAACAGAAGCAACCTATTTGCATAGGGAGGAAGAGAGGCAATCGTAGTATGTATACAATGATAAAAAGAAAGAGCCAACTATGTGTCAAATGAATATTCGCAGATATCTTGAAACTTTTCAGTAGATCTAATATATTCACAACTTTTCAACGGCATAGCCCATTGGGGTTCACTTGCAATCTGGTTAGGGTTGTGGGTGTGCCTCTGTGCTGGTTGTGTACATCCTTTTTTTCCTTCTTATTTATTTATTACTATTTAATTATTTCTGTTATTTTTTTTTTCTTCAGTTTTCCTTGCATGCTTTACACTAGATTTTAATATTAATTAGTATAAGATTTACAACTATATATTAATTGAGTTTGAGATTTTTCAGTTTATTTGTAAACTTTTAACAACCTTCATCTTACATTCGCATAAGTATTTAAAAGAGCTATTCATATAAATAAATATTTATTAAAGTACTTTAAAAAAAATTACGTTTTTCAGTTAATAAACTCTTTACTCCCATCGTTGTACGTAGTGCTTCCGATTCGGTTAAATATCCAAAGATAACAACACATTATACAATACATCCGCGGGGCAATGATGAACGATGGAAAGGTATGTGATTACTATACAGATAATAAACTATAAGTAAAGTTTGTTACTAACGCTCTTCTTTTTCCTAGGAGTCAATATGGAACGGTTTATAGACGAAGTAGATGTGGTGATTGTGGGCGGTGGACCTGCAGGAATATCCGCTGCTATTCGTGGCATTCGATTTTACCCTATTTTCAAAAATAAAAAGAATATTCTCTTTCCATATATATTCATACAAGTGCTTTGCTTGAAATATAATATATAATCTTTTTTATATAAATATATAAAAAATATGCATTCATCTCCCCTTGTACGTCTCCTCAATAGTTTTATACAATTTTTATAGGCGTGGCATTCGATTTTACCCTATTTTGAAAAATAAAATGATAATTCTTTCCATATATTCATACAAGTGCTTGAAATATAATATATAATCTTTTTTATATAAATGTATAAAAAATATGCATTCATCTCCCCTTGTACGTCTCCTCAATAGTTTTATACAATTTTTATAGGCGTGGCATTCGATTTTACCCTATTTTCAAAAATAAAATGATAATTCTTTCCATATATTCATACAAGTGCTTGAAATATAATATATAATCTTTACTTCTAATTGAATTCGACTGTTAATTTGCGTTAGCTGAGTTTCATATGTAAGTCAAAAAAATAAATAAAAAAGTAAATAAATGATGACATGCAAATATAAAATCTTGGGTGAGAAAAAAATATAATTTTCTCAGATAAATATTTTGTTGAAGTATATATATATGTATATATGATTGGTGTTCTACGTCAAAAATTGGCGCTGCAAAAAATTATATGAACACTATGCAATATAGTACCATCTTGTTGCATATTGGCAACACTGCTTCCGTGTAAATAACGCCACGCATCGAGCATGGTATCGCGCAGTGAAGGCATAAGCCGGCTTAAAGCCAATTATAGCTTATCACATTCTACTGGCAGTTACTTGTCAAGTTGAATTCCACTAATTGCTTTACGCATTAATCAAATCGTTTGCGTTGCTATCGGTCTGACGCGTGGGTATTCTTAAAACTCAAATAATTGCTCGAAGGGAAAAATGCACTTTTTTAGATGAAAGTAAACGACATGAACATATTTTAAGGCTCATAGCGGGAGAAGATGCATTCCTGTGAACCGAAAACCAAAAGTTGTCTCACAAATAACTTTATGCCTAATATTTATTGTTAAAAGCTTTGCTCAGCGGGTGGGATTAAAATAATGTCTGTGAATTTGCTGTAGGAAACAACATTTCAACGCAGAAGACAACCAATCAAGAGGGGGAACTATAGGCTCAATATGGAACCGTGTAAGTGCAGCTCATATACTGTTAGTATATGTTAGTATCATATATGTTAGTATCTATTATACCACCCGAGGGTTTTTTAAATTGTGGAAAGAATCACAATGTAGAACTGTGTGGGAAAAATCACTGAATGACTACTGAATAATTTTTCACTTTTAATGTAAATTTATTAAATATTGCCAACAAAGGCGGACTCGCTCTTAGAGAACTGTAAAGTATTATTAAACATCGTTAAACATGATTAGACATTATTAAACATTTCAAAATAAAGCAGACTTTCATATCGAAACCATATAAAACATTATTAAACACGATTAAACATTATTAAATATTTCAAAATTAAGCAGACTTTCAGATCAAAACCATACTAAACCTGATTAAACATCAATCTGAAATAAAAGAAAGAAAGAACTTAAATAAGTAATACGTACTTATACATATATAATAATTTATTTACCTTTCTGGTCCATCGCTGAATAGAACACTGCATACGCTTGGTCGAATGCTACGTTCACCTCTGCTTTCCAGAACGCTGGATTAATATGTTACGTTGTTATGATAATGTTATTTATGGGGTCTTTTGCTGTGTTTTGACCCATCACCTGCTCGTTAAAGCTGTCGCTCTCTTCCGTCATGTCTCGAAGGCACTGACGGCAATTCAACTGTCAACGATATAGCGTGTTATTCCGAAAGCCGTGGACAGACGCAAGTACCTAACTTCATGATACTTCGGTTGCAGTTTGCGGAGGTCTGCAATCACCTTGCCCTTTGCGCGGCAGA